GAGCAATGGGATCGTGCTATGTTTTTATGTTTTAGAGATTGATGTGTGGGAGATACTAATAATGGATGAAGTGAAAAAAATGAAAAAAGTAAAAAACAAATGTGAAATGTGAAACAATGAAACAAAACAGAGAAAAAAAGACTCAAATTGAAAATTCAAAAAAGTAATTTGGGTAGAAATATATCTGAACTAAAAACTAGAATGACAATTAAATATATAGAAGATCAATGTCATCTGAAGATCTTTCAAAACAAGAGCAAAGTTTGATTAGCTCAACATGATTCTAAAAGTTAATGGAATGAGTTTTTGAAAAGGAATCCTAGATTAATGTTAAAAATTTTATGAATATTCATCGTTTGGAGTTATTCCATTCAAATACTTATCCTAGTGACATGCTTTGAATATGTTCTTTTGACTATTTATTTTTGTACAAGATTCATTCTTGTATCGATTACTTTTTCTCTCAATTCACTTTACCCTCTCTTATTTTTACTTTCCCAGAATAAATCGAGGAAATATATGATTGTATTGTATTTGTCATGAATTAAAATGATAATGAATGAATGACAATGTCCATAAAAGATTCATACATTCCTTTGAAAAGAAATCCAAGATGATGGGGCAAAAAAAATGAAAAAGATGAAAAAAGCTGAGAAAATGATTTGAAAAGTCAAATGTGGTACCTAAGTGGTGAAAATAGTGATGGATAAACCAATATAATATGTGTGTTATGACCAAATGCTGAAAATAACATGGATCAGTTGACTAAATTGGTGAATTGATCATAAAATTGTTAGTGCTGGGAAGTTAAAAAGAAAATGTGAGATGGTGGAGTCTTTGATAACCTTATTACCATAATCAATTAGAATGGTATTGATTTTAGTGACATTTGCATTACATTGTTATTTGAATAATACATGTACATAATTCAATGAATATTTGAATCTTTATTTTGCTAATAGTCATGCATTTGTATCATGTAGTGAACATGTGAATTATGATTTAGAATATGGCATATGCATTATTGTAAGAATCTGGGTTGTTACATTTGCATCATTGAGAAATCCTTTGCATCATTATCACACAAAATTTTGACTTTGGTATGAGAATTTTGAAATTTTGAAACCTCAAATAAGAAAAAATTTTCATGATGAGATTTTTTATGAGGAAAACATTCCACATTTTAAAATTGTGAAACCTTTTGAAGAAGCATTTTCAATGTTAAAGATGATTTGTAAGACTTATGGACATAATCTCTAAGAATTTTCAAATGAAAATCTTTGAGTTTTAAATGAGAATCTTTAAAATACTGGATACGAAACACTAAAGTTTTTAAATAAAGAATCTTTAAAATTTTGGTTATAAATCCCTAGAAGTTCTTCAAACATAAATATTTGAATTTTGTGAATCTTCAATTCTTATGAACTGAAAAATCTTCAGTTCTTACAAATCTTAATTCTTACGAATTTGAAAATCTTGAGAATTTGAAGTTTTGCAAACCTAAAATTCTTACAAATTTAAAGGGTTGAAAATCTAAAAATTTGAGAATCTGAAAATCATGCGAACCTTTGAAACCTTGCGATCTTTCTATTTTTATAAATCTGAGTTTTTTTAAATCTTCAATTTTTATGAATCTTCAATTCTTGCGAATCTAAAAATTTTTGCGAAGCTAAAAATTTTATGAATATGAAATTCTTGTGAATTTCTAATTCTTACAAATCTTTAATTCTTATGAATTTCTAATTTTTGTAAATCTTCAATTCTTGAGAATCTGTGTTCTTACGAATTTGAAATTCTTACGAATTTTTGAACCTTGTGATCTTTGAATTGCAAACCTTTGAATTTTAAAATTGTGATTTTTTTTAACTCAAATTGTGAATCTTTGAGTTTCAACTTGTATTGTTAATTTTTTATTGTGAAATTTTTGAATGCTTCAAATCATGAACTTTTGAAGTTTTGAAGTTTCGAAGTTTCGTAATTATTGTGAAGTCAGATTCGAACATTTTAGGTGTCTATATCTTTGTGCAATTTCTGTTTTACAAAAATTATGCAAATAAAGGCAACTGTAGACACCATATTTTATTCGAGATTATTCAGACTTTTCTTGAGTCTCGAGTTAGTCCAAATTGAGCTTTAAGCTTAATCCATTTGGTTTTGGATTTGAGTTTTAGGTTTGCTTTGGATTTTAAACCCAAAATAAGCCTATTTACTCTTTTGTAATTGTCTGCTTTACTTTATTTCAGGAGATAGGTCATTATGTTTGAATTTGAATTGAATTGAAAGATAAACTTATTTAGCTTAAAATTGAAAATAAAGAAGATAAGTGATGAAAATTCAACTAAATGGTATTTTTTATCTTGAATTTTATCGAGACTTTATGCTTATTTAAGCAACAATGATTACATAGAAAATGCGGGGCCAAAAAGAAGCATTCACCATTAGCCTTTTCCTTCATCCAAACCACTACCTCACCTACCATTCTCAACCACCTTCATCATCTATACCTTGATCCTACTAAACCATTGGCAACTTTCAATCACCACTATCACTACATGTCACCTCTGTCAAAACACACATTGTCATATCCACATTATCGTTTCCATCACCACTAGCACCAATTTACTATTACCAAATAATCGAACCTATACTTAATCACACCTACAACCCACAAATAGAAGCAAAAAGCAAATCAGCCTTAGAATCTTCTGTCGTGCATGGCCACCTTTCCCAGATACAACCATTGACAACTTCCCTATCCACAACAACAAACCACCACCAAATATACTATAACCACTAGACCAAATCACACATCTTAGCCAAACTTCCATTCATTGCCCAAAACACTAAAACAAGCACAAAGCTTCAAAACCAGAATCACCACCATAGTGTACCCATCACTTTACTAACATCATCTGCCTTTTTACAAAAGCCTCTTATTGCTAGTATAGCGTGTCAGCAAAAATCCAATAAAAAAACAAGGTAAGGTCAGAAACTAAAAGAAGTCAAAAATTGAAAAAGAGGAAAACAAAAGTAGAGAATAAATTTTTTTTTGGGGTTTCAATTTAAATCATTTTCATGAGGATTTGAGTCCTCAATATCGGTGGAAAGAGAGTTAAGAACAAGGATAACATACCCAAAGGCGATGACCATCAGAACGGCGAAAGAGAAAGAGATAATCGTAACTTTGATTTTGGATCTACACAAATCTGATGGGTATTTGAAAAAGTCAAGCATATCACACGATAAAGGGGATTGAAACAAGCCTCAAAATAAAATTTGGGCTTGAATGGTCATCGACAACGGTGGTTGACAACGTCCAGCAACGATGGCATTTCATTGAAATATGGAAACTTGTGGAGTTTTCAACCAACTTTCATTTTTTCTTAAAGAGAGAGAGACAAGAAGGAATTTGTAGAAAGAGAGAGAGAAAAAACATGTAAAATGAAGAGGAAAGCTTAAAAGAAGACTTTTATAGCATTAATAAAATGATGCATTTTAGCTAAAAAAATTGGGTTCCCTTTAACCCGTTTCAAGGATTCGTATTTTAACCATAGGGTGACTCTATCTAGTTGCTCAGCCCAATCCTCTGTCTTAGTCAAAGTTCATAAGCTGAGCCATAAGCTGAGCTGTTTCCTTTGTGTGAAGCCGAGCTACGGTGAATTTCTTAAGCTGAGTCCCGATTTGTTTTGGTATTCTTTTTTCTTGTTATTTTGCTTATTATTTATCTATTATTTTTTGAGTGAATTTATAAAAAAAGATAAATAAATAAAAAATATTTCAAAAAATGTTTAAGGAAAAGTTAAAAGTATTACTTTTTCTTAGAATATAATTTTTTTTTTCAAAATAAACGTTTTAAGGAAAAGTTAAAAGTATTAATTTTCTAAAAATAATCATAAAAAAAAAGAGGGTTTAAGAAAAAGTTGAAAGTATCAATTTTCCTTAAATAAAAAGCATTAACTTTTTAAAAAATAAAATAAGAAAAGAAATCATAGGAAAAAAATTGAAGTATTAATTTTCTTTAAAATTTTTTAAATGTTAAATAATCTGATGATAAAGTTTTACAAAAAAGAATAATTTTTTGTATACTCTTAAAGTGAGAGAATTTTTTTAATTTTCTGTTAAAAGTATTAGAGTCAATTAAGAATAATTTTTAATAATTAATTATCTGATAAGATTTTTAAGACTTAATGGATAATACAAAATCAAGCAGATACCATCCTTTGATTGGTGTTGTAAGGGTGCTATAATCTTTCTCATATGTAATTATATTTTTAGATTTAATATGATTTCGTAGGTATTAAATATATTTTTTAAAGATATCTGAGTCAAATTTAATTTTTTTTTAAATAAAATAAATTCAGTTAGATAACTATTTATACTTAAAAATAAATTGGTGACGATTCTTAAGTTAATGTTTAGTTATAAGTTTATCAACTTAAGCGTTATGACAAGTATACACAATAAAAAATCAAACTCATGGTTTTCAAATATGTTCACAACCTTGCACTTTTCCGTGCAATAGTATATGTCAAACTTTTTTCCCAGGAAGCCAAAACAGAGAATTTCCCTTGCCTTCAAACTGAAATGTCAACACAAAGTTCAAAAGTAAAGATAAACAAATGTAAATTTTGGATGTTGCTTTCTTACATTTTTTTTAAGGTACGTATTCAAGTGAATTTTTTCTTGACATCATCTAGGTGGTGGCTAAAAGAAGCAAAGCGACATGCTAATCGCCATAGGACCAAAGGACAAGAGGCGTGGTTAAAGTTAAAAATCGCTAAGTAGTCAGTAAAAATTGGTTCTTCACGCTTTTGGCTTCAAGCGATTGGTTTTCTAGTTTCTACTCCCGCTTTTGGTGTTGTTAGCGTCTTCATGCTACTTACTTAGTGTTGGGTTGGTTGCGTGGCTTAAGAGAAGAACCATGGACTTTTGATGTATAACAACAAATGTATAGGCGGAAAGGGAATAGAATTGGCCAATTGTAGGTTTTGGCCTTTTGTGCTTTTGTCCAACCCCAGCTGGAAATTTAGAAAAAGAGAAAAAGCGACAGAAGAGAGAGAAAGACACGGTAAAAAGAATTGCTATTGCTGCTATTGGCCTGTTGCAATTGCTGCCCTCGGAAGAAACTACTCATAAACCCCGCTTTTGTTTACCCTCTTTTTTTCTCTTTCATTCTTCCTAATATTCTCATTCTCACAGTTGAACAGAAAAAATACTCCCAAGTTCAGTTCTTTTGAGTGTTCCAACTCTGACGGCATGGATTCTCAGAGAGGTCCTCTTTCTAGCTGGGCTTACTTCTGCCAAGGAAAGGTAACAACATACATTTCTTCTTTCTTCTCTTGAGTGGTTTCGAGTTTGATTTGGTTTAGCTTGACACTATTTTTTTTTCTTGATTATGCAAAATGAGGGCTTTTTGCATGGAATTTTGGGCTAAATTGTTAATTGCGAGTTTTAATTATGGAGACAATTGAAGAGCTTAGGCATTCTCTTTTGTGTACTACTCTGGAGCTGGAACAGACAAGGTTGGCAGTTCAGGAAGAGCTGACAAAGAGAGATGATCAATTAATTCAACTCAAAGAGTTGCTGAGCAAGGCAGTGAGAGAGAGAGATGAAGCACAGGAGAAATATCAAAGACTTTTCCTTGAGAAACTCTTGCTCCACCAACGGCAAAAACAGCATATTGCTCCTCTTTCTGGAGTTTCTAGCATTGAAGATGAACCCAGAAGAGGAATTGACTCCAACAATGGCTTCTCATCATCCGATTGTAAGGAAAGCATTGTTTCATCTCCTGTTCTTGACCCAATTCAACAACCCCAACTGCCACCAGCACCACCACAAGGACCACAAGCACCAGTACCAAGACCACCTAAATCCACGCCACAAGCAACCACAAAGCTAGTGCCAAAAAAGCCATTACCTGAAAAGGGTAAGCTTTTACAGGCAGTGATGAAAGCTGGTCCACTCTTGCAAACCCTTCTTTTAGTTGGACCACTGCCTCAATGGAGACACCCACCATCACCACTTGAGTCCTTTGAGATCCCACGTGTGACAATTCCTTCACCACCGCCACCTCCACAACTCCTCCACCAAGACTCCTTGACCAGCATTAACGGTTGCAACACCCTAAACACCTGTGGTAAAGTTAACAATGGCTTCTCATCATCTGATTGTGAGGAAAACATTGTTTCATCTCCTGTTCTTGACCCAATTCAACAACCCCAACTGCCACCAGCACCACCACAAGGACCACAAGCACCAGTACCAACACCACCTAAATCCATGCCACAAGTAACCATAGAGCTATTGCCTGAAAAGCCATTACCACTGCCTCAATGGAGACACCCACTACAACCACTCGAGTCCTTTGAGATCCCACGTGTGACAATTCCTTCACCACCGCCACCTCCACAACTCCTCCACCAAGACTCCTTGATCAGCATTAACGGTTACAACACCCTAAACACCTGTGGTAAAGTTAACAGTGTGGACATCCTATTTAATCTGTGGATCAAACCAAGCTCAATTGTCCAATATCCTATATTTCTTTTTTATATCTTATTTATCTTATTTATTTATTTATGTTTTAGTTTTTTATTTATCTAGTTGTAAATTTTTATCATATATAATATCAATAAATTTTATAAAATAATTTGAGCACTAATCAAGGATGATCTAGCAATTAAGATTAAAACATAATCTCTTCAAATATTAAAGGAAGGTTAAAAAAAAGCAAATCAGAAAATCAAAATAAGATTTAATTTGAAAAATTTCGAGATTTTATGAAAATCAAGAAAAATTTAGATAATTTAAAAAATTAATTAAACAGATTTTAAAGAAAATAAAAAAAATCAATTCAAAGAATAATCAGATCTGTAATTATTTTCATTCAGTGTAAATTCCTAATAGAAAACTCAATATAAACACTAATCAACTACACACAAAAAAGGAAGAGAAGAAAAATTTTTTTAGAGATATTAGTTTTCTGTTTTTTAATTTTAGAGAGGAATCATTCAAGCAAATTTTGAAAATTTTTTTTAGGTTATATAATTTTATTTCATTCTGAGTTTGATTTGATTTATTTTTGGGTTTCCTAAATTTGGATTTTAATTTTTTAGTTTAATTTCATACTCTGTTGAGTTTCTGAGATTTTTGCTAGAGTTTACTGTTGATTTTTGGTTTTGAGATTTCTGTTGGGTTTTTAAGAATTTGGAAACTGTTCTGGGTTTAAGATGAACTTTTTCAGTTGAAGTGTGAAATTTTTACGTGAACCTTACAACTTGCTTGAAGATCCGTGCTTCAAGCCCGATCCGATTAATGGTTTTTCTTTTTTGTTTTTTTCATATTATTTTTTGTTTTGATTTTATTTATTTTACTTTTTTCTATTTAATTTTCATTTTATTCTATCATTTTTACTTATTATTATTATTTTCGTCTTTAATTATTATTTTACTCATTACTTTAAATTAAAATTTTTATTGTTTATTTTTTTAAAATGCCATTATGAATTTCTTTTTATTTATTAATTTAAAAATAATAACAAAAAATGCTTCTAAAGTCATGAATCATAGTAAACTATTAAAAAAATTTTCATGAATTTAAATTTTTTATGAATTCTACCAAACTATTGGAGAATCTCATAAATCAATTTTTATAAAAAATTATTACTAATAAAATAATTTATTTTGATCCTATTAAACTATTGGAGGATTTGCATCTTAAATTAAATCTTACCAAATTATTGAAAGATTTAATATATTTTCTAAAAATAAATTTGTAAGAAAATCTCACAAAACTATTGGGAGATCTATATCAAAGTAAATCTTACCAATTTATTGAAAGATTTTACTAATTATTTTCTTAAATAAAAATATATTAATGAATCCAATGACGAAGCTTTTTCAAAGTGGGACATTAGTCTTTGTAAATACTCTTAAAGTGAGAAAATTATCTTAAATTGTTACCAAACTATTGGAAAAAATTTAGGATTAATTTCCAATAATTAAATGATTTGGTAAAGTTATAGAAATATTTTAAGGGTTGGATAATTTGAAATTAAACTGGTACCATTAATTGGATCAGTGTTATGAGGGTGTTATAACCTTTTTCATGTGTAACCACATTTTCGAATCTAAAATATGATTTTGTAGACTAAAATATACTATTTAAAAATACCTAAGTTAATATTGAAACTTTTCTTTGAATAGGACAGATTCTATCAGGTGACCAATCATACCTAAATAAAAAAGATTGATAGCAACTCCTAAAGTCTATGTCTAGCTATAGGTCTATGGATTTATATGTTATATTAGTTTGGCGACTTTGCTAGGGAATATGAGAGTCAGGCTAGTAAATGATTCCTTGTTATCCAACTTAATCAATTTAAAATTATTTTATTTTATTATTTTTCTTGTTGTCTATATTTTATTTATTTACTTATTTATCCTATTTGTCATTCACTTATACATGCATAACATGAATTCTACACTTAAATTTTTTTTTTAGGAAGGAGTAAAATACCTATGCCTTCGTGAGATTTCATGTCTCCGCATGGGCTAGTGAAACACTCATTCTCGAATTGAACCCTTTTTGCTCATAACCTATAATGTGTGAGGATTATGGTACCTTACTAATCTGTGATCGACAATAATGTGAGGAACAATTTGAGAACCTATAAAATCAATCTTAAACCACATATAATGAGTTGTAACACCCATAGTTAGATTTATGTCATTCGTTTTTGTATAAATACTCCAAATTAGGTCGCATATCTTTTAAGTTATGCATTAACTTCTTTTATTTATTTTTTTTTATATTGGTTGCTAATTTTGTTCTTGTTTGTTATTTTCTTTTGCATGAATTATGTTAACATCAATAAGTTTGCATTTATTCATTTCTATGTTTGTCTATTTTCATTCATTTCACGCATCTCACTCATTCATAAATCATTATCATCATTCATTCATTATGTCATTGCATAATGAAAATCTTTGCTCATGTGGGGCAGCAATTTAAAAGAGATGGGAGATCAGTTAAAAGCATGGATCCAAGCTTTAAAACACAACCAAGAGGAATTTAGGCATGACCTACAAGAAATAAAAATGCAACTTACCAAGCTCATGAAGAGGGTGAAAAATCTTAAAGCGACCTATTCTCGAGAATTTTCATCAACTCCAATTTATGTGAGCATTAAACAACCATCTTGTTAAGATAAAAAAGCCTCTCATAATACTGATGCTGATCCAAGTTATGTCAATGCATCCAATGGCCCAAGAAAAGACCAAGTCAGAAAAGAAGCAAAAGAGATAAAGCTTTCCAACTTTGCATCAGTTATGCAGATTGGCTCATACTAAATCCCTAATCAGTTATTTCTAAACAATCTTTTTTGGCATCTTAAAAAAAACCTGTTTCTGTTCAACCTTCACAGATTGGCCCATAACTATATACTTTTATGGTTATAAATTATGCTTTTCAAAACCCTGGTGTTTATCAACTCATCCAGCAACCAAGCTTCCTAATGAACCTTTGGGCATATACACCAAATTCTACTCCAAGACCTGCACTTGTAAGTCAAAAAACTACTTAACTCAAAAAATCATTGAGTAAAAAAAAGAAAGCCATCATTGATCAATCAAATCCTTGTGACTTACACAAAATTATTCTCACTACTCCTTGAAAATTATTTGATTGCACCAGTTCCTTTAGAGTCATTGTAACCATCTTATCCTAAATGGTTTGATGTTGAAACTCGATGTGATTATTACTTTAGGAATACGGGTCATTTTAAAAAATTACATTATTTTCAAACATAAGGTGTAAGGTTTAATCAGAGATGGTGCGTTGAGTTTTAGGGATAAATGAAAGCCCAAGATTGTTAAGAGGGTGTTGCCAAATCATAGTGGCTGAAGAACTTATCCATGGTAGTACTAGGATCTTAAAGTTAAAGAATAAGATCATGCAATAGATTTTAGGATTTTTCCTATGAATGTTTTTGGATTTTTTAAAACTATTTTAATTTTTAATTAGAGATTTTATTTTTCTTCTCTTTCTTATTATGTGATAGAATTTAATGCATGTATCCATTCATTTATATATACATCTTTTTTTCTTTTCTTGCATAAATTTACAATAGAAATTGTCCTAATTCTTAATTGTGACAATAAGGTTAAAAAACTTGACCATCAAGGTAATCTCCTTACCACTTATGGAGCTAAAACAACATAACCAAATTGAGAAAATGATAGTAGATTTGACCCAGATAATAGAAATGTTGAAAAAATTGAATAGAGAAAAAGAGGTGGAACAAGCTTGTATACAAGCATCCCAACGACATAATCACGACAAGCATCATTTTTTGGGGCATACTCTTGTTCTAGAATACCGTCAACAGTTTCACTAATTTCAGTCTTTGATGATTATAAAAAACTAGTAAAATTGAAAAAAAATTCATTTGAAGCAACAGAAGATTTAGATGCTTAAAAGAAAATGGATCTTATAGAAAAGAGGTTTCGAGCTATCAAAAAAATAGATTTATATGGATCTATATATGTATTAAAGCTTTGTGTGGTGCTAGATGTGATTATTCCACAAAAGTTTAAGTCCCAAAATTTGAAAAATATAATAGGACTAAATGCTCGATGACCTATGTCACTATGTATTATAGAAAGATGGCTAACTATGCTTGTGATGACAAACTCTTGATTCATGTATTTCAATATAGTCTTACAGGATCTACTACTAAGTGGTATGCTAAGATAAAATTTGAGTCACTTCGTGGAAAGAATTGGCTAAAGCATTCATAACTCAATACAAACACATTTTAGAGTTAGTCCCAAATTGATTGTCTCAATAAATATGAAGAGAAAATATTTTAAGAGTTTCAGAGAATATGCTCAGAGGTAAAAGGGTGTTGTTACCTAAGTTCAATCACCTTTAGCAGAAAAAGAAACTACAATCTTATTTGTCAATAATTTTAAAGCTCTATACTATAAAAAGATGATTAGAAATACAACAAAAATTTTTACTGACATGGTCACATTAGGGGAGATAATAGAGAATGCCATAAAAAATGAAAAGCTTAAAGAGGATAATATACTTAGGGTAAAGGATGTGAGTGTACTAAGAATAGAAAAAAAAGATGTTCAAGTCATGATGTATGAAAGGAAACATGTTTAAAGCTTTACCCCACACATGATGTACCAACCTTACCACTTTACTATAAATAACCTTTATTAGAATCCTTATTTTCACCAACCAACCCAATAATCAGCTCCTCACATTAGTAATATCCCCAATCTACTACTCGACCATTGAATAGCCAAAGAAGATCAAAAACCAATCTAGAGAAAATTCCTATTCTAATTTTTTATCTTTCGCTTCTGTTGGTAAAGTATTAGTACCTTACCCTAATACCTTTGAAAGTAACTCTGAATCTATCAGCCAAGAGTTATGATCCAAATGGTAAATAAGATTATCACATGAAGATAATTGGACTCTCGATTGAGAAATGCAAACAGTTAAAAGAAAAGATTGAAAGTATTATCCATAGTGACATCTTGACCCAATAGGTTTTTGACCAATGGTAAGTTATTTTATCATAGGTTGATTATTCTTTGTATATTGATTTCTTGGACATGAAGTCATTGGTTTCTAATGAATGTTGATTGTTTGGGTTCTTACAAATGCATGTAAAAATTTTTTTAAGAAATTTGGTGATTATTATTAGGAATGGGTATCTTGAGCCATCTCCTTGAACATTTCATATTTTTCAATTGGAAGAATAAAAATCTTGAGAATTTCTTAAGATGAAAGTTTCATAACTTCACCCTATTTGACCATGATGAACCTTAAAATTTATTGATCTTCATTTGGGCTATGAACAATGAGATAGTCAATTAATTTGTAAAATCTTTTAAGACACGCTCTTAAGCTTTTTGATTTTTGGTGATTTAATAAATGTCAAGATTATGTCAAACATGTCACCACCTAAATTCTTTAAGCCATATTTTCTCAATTTGTTCAGTATTTTGGCCTGTGCTACATTCATCTTCGTTTTGAATCATTTACCAAGCGATCCTTTGTACTCATTTCGAGACACAAGCCAAATTTACTTGATGTCTTAAATAACCATTTTGACCATTTTGACTGATGAACATACGGATGGGTTTGTTATCAAAATGCATTATGTGTATGAGTTGCAAAATAAATAAATAAATAAAGTAAAATAGAGTTGATTATGAAATCATGCATGTGGGGCATTCAAATGAACCTAAAATCAATTAGGCAACAAGTTGTCTTATGAAAACTGTTTTCTACAAGGATTATTTCTACATATCCTAGAAGAAGCAACTAAAGGGGTCTAGGGTTTATATAAGGATCTTTAGCCATGTCTTTAAATTATTCGGTTTATTAAAATAACAATTACAATTATTATAACTATCATGATTATTATTATCTCATAAGAAAACACATGCCTTGGACAAATGATACTTTGGATCAAGATATTCATTGCAATGGTGAAGGTTTCTTTTGCATAATGAATCATCACAAGAAATATATAAGCTCCATTTTCAGCTCCATTTGATTTATATTATCTTAAAGGCTAAAGTCATCATCAAAAACCCACTAAACATTTGTCAAGGTTCGCATGAAATCAAATAAAAAAAAAAAAGAAATCATAGGATATATAAGTTTCATTAAAGAAACACTCTAAACATATTCGACTTTAATATAGCAATCGTTGCTTTCCCTAGGAAAGATTAAAATCATATGGGCTAACCTTTATTATTTTTTCTAATGAAGTTTTAAGTATAGAAAAATTACAATTATAATTAAATATAATATCCATATAAGAATTCATTGAATTAAATTAAACAAATAAAGTAACCAATAAACAAGTATATAATTTAACAAAATTAACATAAAATTGAATTACGCTAACGTACGATAAAATTTGAACTTGAGACATCTAAGTTCTGGAACCTCTCTCATTAAGCCAATACCTCACTTGTCTAGGATCCTTATTTAATCAGCCCTTGTTAGTTAAAATGTATCCCAAAAGGCTACAGTTAAGAAGCTAAACTGCTAGGTTGCATTGATTAATCAATTTCTAGTTTCTCGTATATATATGTACCATGGAATCAATATTTGTCATTGTATGATTGAAGTTAAGGTACATCCAATGAGTATTGAGCCAATATAACATATATAATATATGGTAATAATAATTATGTAGATATATAGACAATTGGCAAAGGGCAAAAGTAGACCCACAATCACGTGAATTGTTAATAAAATATTAAATTTTTAGTAATTTTAAATACTAAAAAATTGTGATTATGGAAGCCAAAATAAGTAAATAGAAATATACGAAATAAGCCTATCTTTCTCACACCATGTCTTTCCCTTTCCAAGCTGGGGAAAAGGAGAGGTGGAGTGAGGAGGCAGGAGGCAAGGGTGGGATGAGTAAATTGTGTTGGTCTGATGCTTAAGATTGCCGTTTCTTAGGGCAAAGCCCACATGTGCAGGTTGATTTTGATAAAGTTAGGACATAATACAATGATGCCCATAGAGAATCACACAGACCTTTAGATGAGACATAAAGGCAGGCGCGGCGCCCATTTTATTCCCTCCCTCCCTTTTGGATTTTACTCCATTGGAATTCTTTTTTCCATAGTACAAAAAGACTAAAAACTACTCCATTACTATATAATAAGACTATACCCTTAATTTAATTATTTAATATGCATTTTTAAGGGTTGTTTTTTGTTTTTAGGTTGCATGATTTAGGACTTTGTAGCCTACACCAGTATATAATTAATTAATTGGTTAAATTTATTCCAATAGCAAAGGGTCTTGAATTAGCCAAATGGAAGCCTTTCCACTTTCCTACAATGAGGACTTTATTGTTCAAAATTGGGTCCATTAGCTTTCTTGGGCAAATATTGGGGGGAAAGTTTGGTTACCAGCTTCCTTTTTAGACCAATGAAACAATAAACCATTGACCCCAATATATGAACATGATTGAGATACAAAGACTCACAAAGAAAGAAAGATTTTGGGATGGGATTTGTCTACATTGTAGGATTTTTAATTGTAGTCTACTCCCTCAAAGAAAATTGCACATGCAAACATTCCTCAAGTCAAAAACGAATTCCATGGTTGTAAAATTGAAAGTGTTTATTTCCATCATTTTTTATTTTGTTTGTCAAAAATGGCAGGCTGATTTTTGTTTCTTAAATGTAGAAAAACTTTCAAAAAAAAAAAAATAATGACACATTTTTTATTAGATGGAAATGGTTATGGGGAAAAGTATGTTTATGACAAGATAAAATCAAACAAAATGATTCGGTGTTGGACTACATGGTAGTAAAAATCATTTTCAATTTTGATATGATTTGGCTATATGTTTGGAATTTACAGAAATTTATTCTACAATCTTTGTTCATGTGCCATGCATGTAGCATTCATCTCTTTAGTTGGACTTGGAAGAATATTATTCTTTGTTTTCAACTCAAAGAGAGAGGCCAAGAAATGATTCCACCAACAAAAGAGAAAAACACACACAAGACAATAGATGTAGATTATTTACTCAATGAAAATATGTTCTTAATAGGCCAATAAAACAAAATTCCTTTCTAATTTCCAAGTTAAAGTTAAAGGTGGCTACCTAAAATTATCTTACTAAAACCAACATATGATTGACAACATTGTCTGTTTCAAGATTCTTGGGCTTTGACTGTTAGACAAAGCCATTGCCTTGCATTTGCTATTTGATTGGAAAAATATTGTTAGAGAAAAGGATATTGGTTGGAAGAATGGAGAAGAGGAAAGATGAAAACCTTATCGATTTAATGGTTAAGATTTATAATCATTTTTTTATTTTATAACTTAATTATTAAATTAACAAGCTTTTCATTTTTATCTCTTTCCATTATTTTTATAAAGCAAAACCCAAATCCAACTATGATCAGCAGCTTCTGACTTTACGTTGATTTTAATATTGCTTTCATGATTAAACTATTTGGGTTATGGTAAAAAGATTGATCTTTATAGAGTTTACTGATGTATTTTTTTCTACTATAAAGTGTACATAGTAAAAAATCAAACCCATGGTTTTCAAATATGTTCACAACTATGCATTTTTCCATGCAATAATTTTTGTCAAACTTTTTTCCCAGCAAGCCAAAACAGAGAATCTCCCTTGCCTTCAAACTCATTTGTCAACTCAAGGTTCAAAAGTAAAGATAAAAAAACAAATGTAAATTTTGGACGTTACTTTCTTAGAATTTTTTTTTTTTTTTTGAAGGTACTAAAAGAAGCAAAGCGACATGCTAATGGCCATAGGACCAAAAGACAAGAGGCGTGGTTAAAGTTAAAAAATCGTTAAGTAGTCAGTAAAAACTGATTCTTCACGCTTTTGGCTTCAAGCGACCGGTTTTCTAGTTTCTAGTCCCGCTTTTGGCGCTGTTACTGAGTCTTCACGCTACTTGGTGTTCGGTTCGGTGCGTGGTTTAAGATAAGAACCCACGGACTGGACTAAGTACAGAAGACTGACTGAAGTATAACAACAAATGTATAGGTAGAGAGGGATTAGATTTGGCCAATTGTACGTTTTGAACTTTTGTGCTTTTGTCCAACCCCTGTTGGACAGTTAGAAAAAAAAAAAAAAAGCGACAGAAGAGAGAGAGTGAGTGAGAGAGAAAGACACAGTAAAAAGAGTCGCTGTTGCTGTTATTGGCCTGTTGCAATTGCTGTCCCTCGTTATAAGACTAGGAAGAAACCACTCATAAACCCCGCTTTTCTCTACCCTCTCTCTCTTTCATTTTTCCTAAAATTCTCATTCTCACACTTGAACAGAAAAAATACTATTAAGTTCATTTCTTTTGAGTGTTCAACTTTGACGGCATGGATACTCAGAGAGGTCCTCTTTTTAGCTGGGCTTACTTCTGCCAAGGAAAGGTAACAGCATACATTTCTTCTTTCTTCTCTTGAGTGGTTTCGAGTTTGATTTGGTTTAGCTTGACACGTTTTCTTCTTGATTATGCAAAATGAGGGCTTTTTGCATGGAGTTTTGGGCTAAATTGTTAATTGGGAGTTTTAATTATGCAGACAATTGAAGAGCTTAGGCTTTCTCTTTTGTATACTACTCTGGAGCTGGAACAGACAAGGTTGGCAGTTCAGGAAGAGCTGAGAAAGAGAGATGATCAATTAATTCAACTCAAAGAGTTGCTGAGCAAGGCAGTGAGGGAGAGAGATGAAGCACAGGAGAAATATCAAAGACTTTTCCTTGAGAAACTTTTGCTCCACCAACGGCAACAACAGCATGGTGCTCCTCTCTCTGGAGTTTCTAGCATTGAAGATGAACCCAGAAGAGGAATTGACTCCAACAATGGCTTCTCATCATCTGATTGTGAGGAAAGCATTGTTTCATCTCCTGTTCTTGACCCAATTCAACAACCCCAACTGCCACCGGCACCACCACAAGGACCACAAGCACCAGTACCAAGACCACCTAAATCCATGCCACAAGCAACCATAGAGCTAGTGCCTGAAAAGCCATTACCTGAAAAGGGTAAGCTTTTACAGGCAGTGATGAAAGCTGGTCCACTCCTGCAAACCCTTCTTTTAGCTGGACCACTGCCTCAATGGAGACACCCACCACCACCACTTGAGTCCTTTGAGATCCCACCTGTGACAATTCCTTCACCACCGCCACCCCCACAACTCCTCCACCATGACTCCTTGATCAGCATTAACGGTTGCAACACCCTAAACACCTGTGGTAAAGTTAACAGGAAAAGGGGTCTTTATGATGGCCCTGATTCTCCTACAGAGACCAAGTTCCAAAGATTAGTTCTCCATTGACTACTACTTACACACGAGTAGCCTAAATAGTATTAATTTCATAAAATTTACCATTTTTAAACTTATTAAAGGTTAGTGAGGGTGAAATTGCAGGGTGGAAATCAGCCTATGGGTAGGGTGACTGATCTAAGCATTTTTGTACAGAGGATTGCTTTAGAGAAGCAACTACCCAACTTCCTAGTTTACTCTTTGGGGAGAGTCAGAAAGAGCTTTCATTTCTTGGCCTTTTGCCAATGTTTTTCAGTGAAGATTTTTTTGTCTTGATCTCCCCCTCTTTTTTCTTCATTTCTTCACATTTGGTTTTTTGCTCCATGATGTGAAAGGGAGCTTTGATTTCTCCAAAATTGCTGTGGCATGTAAGCATAAGTAGTATAACAACTTTAGCTTCCATAGTTTTCACTAAGGTATGTGCTGCTTTCTAAGTGTGGGAAAAGTGTGGACTGTTTGAGAATTGAGAGATTACATTAAAATTAAAAAAGATTTTAAAGCATGAGTTGGTGTGAAGTTGTTGAAATTGGGAAGACGGGCATGGCCAATAACTGGGAAGGTCTAAGAGGCTTGCTTGTCGGATTAGTGGATCCCACAAATCAGAACCAGGATCTGCTACTGGTGTGATGTGTGATTTTATTACTCTTTTTTTGGTTGAGGGAAGTATTGTGATTATTTACATGTAAGTCTGATCTTATCTTTCTTGAAATCATTTTTTCCCTCTTCTTTATGTAATGGTAATATTGATATGCTAATATATTCCTTAAAGCTTCTTTTATCAATCTGCTCCCACTTAACTTGTTTATTGTTAAACTTTTCTCTCTCCCTAAACTAGAGCAAAAGTAATGCTGGGTTTTGCTTTCCATGTCTCCTCACATTACAAGGATCTGGGAAACATTTTCCATTTGCTATTACTTGGGACGATAAGCAATCAAGTTACCAATGAAACCTTGTGGAAATGAGCGTTAAAGATTAATCTAAATGGAAAATAGTAAATAGATATGCTTTCCCACCTTGTTCACTTGGATTATATCTTAATTTGAAATGCTTGCACTTTATATTCATACAAGTTGTTTTGCACACAGTTTTAGCACGGTCGTTCTGCTTGGCCTCAAAGTTCAGGATTTGAAGCTCAAGCCCAGTTAGAAAAAGAAAAGGAAAATAAGAGATGATCTGAGGTTCATCAGACTCCTGCGATTAGTTCAACTTGATCTTCTTATGCTCTCATGTCTCAATCACTAGATGGCGAGTCAGATTAAACAATGTTTTGTAAAATGCAAAGCACAAATGAAAAAAGAGCTATTACAAAGTCAAGTTCACATTGAAAAACCTGAGGGTGATGGATTGATTTCATTGGCGAAGCATGCGCAACGGACTTGTTTCTAGTCTTACTTAACAAATTTACGGTAATTAAACCTGCTCAAAATTGTCGATGGCTCACTTCCTATAGATAGAATTAGAGAAAACATCAACGTTAACCCAGCAAACTATTGGAAGCAGACTCACTTTTTATTTGTTACATCAATATTGACAAGGCCTAAAACAGAAGTCGAGTAAGGCCTAAAAAAGTTTTCGAGTAAATGGATCCACAGATAATGACACATTCCAGTTTTTCTTGTTGAGACCAATCCAAACTAAGCATGAACATGGTTAGAAAATTAAGGACTAACCTATTCCAGTCCAAAAGACATGATTAAAATGCACAACTGGAAACTCAGTGGTACTCAAGCGCAAAACAAGCAGGAGTAGCCATGATTTTTCAAGGCAATTTCTAACAGAAAGGAAGAATTGAAGCATCCAAGTGCGGTTGATGTAAAGACCTTGGTTGAAAAGTTAGGCGCACAATGAAAAGCCTGTTTCCAGGGGAATTGTCTAGTCCACACGGCAGTGGCTGGGAAATGAACAAGCTAGCGTGTTTTGCTTGACTGAAGACTCAATCCCACCTCAAATGGGTAGCACCGTGATTTGACGGAGATTATCTGCTTCTAGGTCCTCCACTTATAGAGGCTAGAAAGATAATCACAGCTCAGAAATAAGAAGATAAGCACAAAGTCTAGAACCATTTTTGGTTCTAGACCTTTACCTTCAGAATTTTGGGTCAAGAGACTCGTGTCTAATGACTTTATGATTCCCACTGAAAAGGGCAATTACTCCAGGCCAGACCCAATTCAGCGCAGATATGGCATACCTCTGAAGAATCATTGGTTCCCAGCTAAACATTTTTCTCCTAAAAGAATATTAGATTAGTAAAAGGGAAAGCGTTTATAAGGCTAATATAATGAACACAATAAAACAAAAATCAAAAGCAATACTAATCAACAATTACAAAGCCATTCCATGATTTTCAATAACATAGGTTTGAATCAAAAGAAATTGAGGTCCGTATACGGTAACTAATTTCATCCTGGTGGCTATGCAGAAATCATATCCTCTTTTCAACAAGCACACCTTGAGGCTTCTGCTCTTTGTCACGAAAGCAGTTTAATTTCAATTTGACAGAAATTCTAAAATTACAAAGAAAAATACATCTTCGTACGGTGAAAAGTAATAGTTTGAATGCGGCAGAGGGAGGCAGAGTAAATCCGGGCAGGAGAGGCTGCATTTTAAACACCGTTGGTAATCTTCTGAACTTGACTCATTGAACCGGGCTTTAAGCACCCAGATTTTCACAGTCGAGTTCATGTCATGTAGTGCTAAATTAATGTCCATTGTTCAACCCAATCACGACATGTACTGCTGGTATTTCGTTCATATCAATCTTGCCGGGGATCTCAATAGCACAAGCCAATCTTTGTTAATTGCAAATTGTAGGATGTGCCCTGACCTTGATAATCTATAGATGCCCCCTCATGATTGACAGATTGCTCAAACCACTTGGCTCTGGTGACATTCTTTCCTAGTTGAAACCACGAAGTACTCCAATCCCTAGTTTCAGAATTGCAAAATTTCAAGCACCAGGCACCCTCGAATCAAACGATATTCAAATACCTGGATTCAGCAGGGTGATACGCCAAAAGCAGCATAACAACATGTAAAAGACATATTAGGCTAATTAGGCTTGGCAACTTCAACATATTGATGGGCTGTAGGGTTAACCACATAATAATCGAACAATTTTGCACGCCTACACTGGTTGTCCATCTTCTGTCCCCGTTGGAACCAATCACCGCGGCATATCAAAACCAAACCATTACAGGATGCCATAAATTTTACAGCCGAATGTATAATCAACCTTCGACCCCATTCTCAAACAAATCAACAAATCAACAAATCTTAAAGAATTTTCCAAAGATTGACCTTTGAGACAAATTAGGTATGAATTTCTTAATTCTTGGGACTGGAATTTACAAGAAATTCCAGGCTTGATGAAAAGTTGGGACTAGTTCAATGTCATGTTTCTGACTGAACTTATGCTAATGTGTCACAGTTATGATGGCATTGCAATAGAACAATGCATAAAAGAAAACTATAGTAGTATCTATTAGCGTAACACTGAAAAATTGGAATTACTGCTTCTGGTAAGTTTGAAATTTTGAGGAAAGGCTCTAATGTATGCAATGATGCCACTTTCCTTAAAGTTTTATTTGCCTCTACCGTATTATTCACTTAATAGGTATGCAAAAGAGTTGCAGGCAATAAACCTTGAGGATATAATGAAACCCAATGATTGACTGCATTTTATACTAATGAAATCAATCCATTGAGCAATTACTAATGTATCATAAGATCATTGAACTTTTATAAAAGTTTTCTGCAGCAAAATTTTTATAAAAGAAATATGAAATTTAAAAAAAGATGAAGAGTTTAAAAAAATTATTTCTATGTGTTTTCAAAAAACCAGAAGAGCTTTTTATAAACAAATAAGTGTCCTTTCTTACAAACATGACTATCTATTTTGAATAGTTGAAACTTTGATTTTGAACATATTTATCTCTCTATTTTGAACAAACTTAATTATATGTCTTTATTTTTTCTTTTCCAATGTGAGATTATTTCTCATTTTATTTTGAAAATCTCTAACAATCCCTCATCATTTTCAAAATAATTTAGATTTATGATGACTTTGGAAATCAATTGCATAAATGAAAGTATTTCCGTTTTGAACATTCATTTAATGAAAACAAGTTAAAAGTTAACAGAAATCGCATGGTAGACTATGCTTTAAACCAGGTATTCCATTTGGTTAATTAAACTTGTCTCAGACAATGATTTCAACATCCAATAAATGCTTGGTATACGGTGACACATTTATGACCATGTGTCTGCATCCTCTTTTCATTAGTGTTATTAGAGCCAAGCTCTTAAGCTCCTAGAAGCGGCCACACTTTAAACTCATATAGGTAGCTCACATCAAGAGTGTTCCCGTAACTATAGCACTCTAACATAATTATGTTATAGGTCTATTAAGAATATATTACTCATCATTCATTTACTATTACGGTACCTAGCACTTTACCTGGGATGGCATTAAACAATACTATAGTGCTAGCAGCCACATACAAATGATATACTTTATCTCATTTGAAGTCAAGACTTGATGTTATACCAAGCATTGAGTCAAGTTTTCATAATGGGTGACTTTATTTCATAAGCTTAAGCCTCATCCCTATTGAAGTCTTTTTTACCAAGTCTCAAGCAAGACTTTTTGTTAGAGGATCCGTCAAGTTTTCACTTAACCTCACATAATCTATAGTGATCACTCCATCTAAAATTAATTGTCAAACATAGCTATGTCTTAATCCAATATGTCTAGACTTTTCATTATATACTTGGTTATAAACCCTTACTAGAGTTGCTTCACTATCACTTCAGGTAAATATTGGAAAATTTAGTTTAGGCCATAAAGGTACTTCATATAATAAATTTCTTAGCTATTCAACTTATTTAGCTATTGCAGCTAATGCAATAAACTTGGCTGCCATGGTAAAATTTGTTATGCATGTTCGTTTCTTGAAAACCCAAGAAATGGCACACCACCAAGTATAAAGATTCACCCACTTGTAGAAGCATGATCTTTCATATTAAGAATCCAACTAACATCAAAATATCCTTCTATAACTGAAGGATATCCATTATAACATAATGCATAATTGATTATTTTCTTCAACTATTGAAATACTTTTTTAATTACCTGTCAATGCAAGTTACTAAGATTACTTGTGTACTTAACTTTTTAACAGCAAATGCTATGTCTGGCCTTGTACAAGTTATTACATACATCAAACAACCAATTACTTTTGCATATTGTAATTAATCAATTGTTCCACCAGTATTAGATACTAATTTTAGTTAAGAATCCATGGGTGTAGATATTGAAATACAATCGAAAAGATCAAACTTTTTAAGTACTTTTTCAATATAATGCGATTGTGACAAGGTTATGCCACTACCATTCTGAATTATTCTAATTTCAAGAATAACATCCGCTCCTCCCATATCTTTCATTGAAAAGTTATTTGATAAAATTTCTTTGTTTCCTTACTATCATTCTCTACTTGTACTTGGAAGTCCCCTATTCCTGACCATCTACCTTTAAGGTCAGGAATAGAATATGGACTTTTGTTTTTTTTTTTCTAAATAACTAGTGAAGTGGAAGTGGATTATAAAGCAATAACGATGTAGAACATGATACGTTAAATACTATAAACTTAAAAGAGGAAGACATAGTAGTTGTGAAGCCAATATACTAGCTAAAAAATATAGATACAACCCTTTGTTCTCTTGTCTTTGAATAGAAAGTACTATGGCTATTGTTTTTTATAGGGATTTTAGGCTTTATTTTGTTTATGTTACCTTGATAGCTTTAGAGGGTAGTGTACAGGAAGGAGAGAAGCTATTACTTTACTATCCTGCCCTTTTCTCTAGAACACAAAACTTAAATTGCTATGAGTGAGGGCTATTTCTTTACTTATTCGTCTATCATTAGCTAGTATCGCTACTAGTAATTTCACTAGTCACTTATGATATTCTAGAAACCAACACTTGATCTAGCTTTCACATTAACTATTTATTAAAACAGATGAACGGTTAACCCTATAAAGGGTCCGTTTAGAGGAAACCAAAGATGATCAAATGGGTTCATAAGAGATATGGATTTTTGTCTTTTCTCTTTCAAGTCTAGGAAGAATGGAAAGAATAGGCTATACAGACATAGCCAATGATAGAAAGGACTTAACATATCATCTACATATAAACAAATTATGACTTCTTTGCCATTTTCAAATTTGTTATATATTCACTTATCTGACTCATTAATTCTAAAATCATTAGCAAGAATGATTTCATCAAACTTTTGGTGCCATTGTTTTAGTGCTTGCTTAACTCCATACAATGATTTTACAAGCTTACAAACCTTATGCTCTTGACCTAGAATGATAAATCCTTTCGATTGTTTCATATATACTTCCTCTTCTAATTCACCATTTAATAATGTCATTTTTACATTCATTTGATGTATAATGAAATTATAAATCAAGGCAAGTGAAGTCAGAAGCCTAATTGTAGCAATTCTAGCTACTAGAGCATAAGTATCAAAGTAGTCTATCTTTTACTTTTTTGTAAAGCCCTTGGCAACCAACCTTACCTTAAATTTATCTATGGTTTCATCCACATTCATTTTGTTTTTAAAAATCCATTTACAGCCTATTGGATTAGAACATGGTGGAACGTCAACCAAAAGCTAAGTGTTATTTGCCATTATTGAGTCCATTTCATCATTTATTGCTTTTTTCCAAAATGTAGAATCTTAAGACTTTATTGCCTCTTCATATGTGTCATAACGTATAGATCCTATAGATCTATCACCAGAAAAAGAGCCACCACCAATATTTTTTTTAGGTGTGATTGGCCACCTAAGTGAATTTGTCCCTTTTTAAAGAAAAATCTTCAGCTTAACTTAGGTATCTTTAAAAGGTAGATTTTATATCTATAAAATCAAGACTAGATGTGGAAGTATAGTTACGTATGAAAAAGGTTATAACACCCTCATAATGCCCATCAAATGATAGTACCAGTTTGATTTCATATTATCCAAGCCTTAAAATATTTTTAAATTTTTACCAAGTAAATTTAATTATTGAAAATTGATCTTAAAATTACTCTAATCATTTTGTAGTGATTTAAGATAATTTTTTCACCTCAGGAGTATTCATGGAGACTCATGTTTTACTTTAAAAAGGCTCCGTCATCAAATTCATTAACATATT